GGCTGATGCTTTAGCTACTTTGTCTTCAATGTTCCAAGTGAATGATTGGAACGATGTGCCTACAATCAGAGTTATGCGCCTCAATAAACCCGCTCATGTGTTCTCAGCCGAGGAAGTCATTGACGATAAACCATGGTTCTATGACATTAAACGTGTTCTTCAAACTCAAGAGTACCCGCATGGGGAATCCAATAAAGATAGGAAGACGTTGAGGAGATTGGCAAGTACTTTCTTCCTCAATGAGGAAGTATTATATAAAAGGAATTACGATATGGTCTTGCTCAGATGTGTAGATAGACATGAAGCAGACATGCTGATGCAAGAAGTACATGAAGGATCCTTTGGCACTCATGCCAACGGACATGCAATGGCTAAAAAGATGTTGAGAGCTGGTTACTATTGGATGACGATAGAATCTGATTGCTGCAAATATGTGAAGAAATGTCATAAATGCCAAATTTATGCGGACAATATACATGTGCCACCGACCCTCCTCAATGTTATTTCTTCACCTTGGCCTTTCTCAATGTGGGGCATTGATATGATTGGAATGACTGAACCCAAAGCTTCAAATGTTCATCGTTTCATCTTGGTGGCGATCGATTATTTTACTAAATGGGTGGAAGCAGCATCTTATGCTAATGTAACCAGGCAGGTGGTAGTCAGATTTATCAAGAATCAGATCATTTGTCGATACGGCATCCCGAGCAAGATCATCACTGATAATGGTTCAAATTTGAATAACAAGATGATGAAAGAGCTTTGTGAAGAGTTCAAGATCGAGCATCATAATTATTCTCCCTACAGGCCAAAGATGAATGGGGTTGTTGAAGCTGCTAATAAGAACATCTAAAATATTATCCAGAAGATGGTGGTAACTTATAAAGATTGGCATGAAATGCTTCCGTTTTCTATGCATGGGTACCGTACTTTAGTTCGAACTTCAACAGGAGCAACCCCATTTTCCCTAGTTTATGGCATAGAAGTAGTACTCCCCATGGAGGTTGAGATCCCGTCTATGAGAGTTTTGATGGAAGCTAAACTTTCTGAGGCTGAATGGTGTCAAAGTAGATATGACCAGTTGAATTTAATTGAAGAAAAGAGATTGACAACATTGTGTCACGGTCAACTATATCAGCAAAGAATGAAGAAGGCTTTTGATAAGAAGGTTCGACCATGCGAATTTCAGAGAAGGTGACCTCGTGCTCAAGAAGATATTATCTTTCCAACCTGATTTTAGGGGCAAGTAGGCTCCGAATTATGAAGGACCGTATGTCATTAAGAAGGTTTTCTCTGGAGGCGCCATGATTCTCACAGATATGGATGGTGAAGAACTCCCGCGCTTCGTGAACGCCGATGCAGTCAAGAAGTATTTCTCCTAGGTTTGAGTTGACAGTTCGCTAAGTTAAAAACCCGAAGGGGCGGCTTAGGCAGGCTTTTGGTCAGACCGGTCATGGAATTTGAGCACATCTAGGAATTCGAAGTTGTTAGGGAGAATAATGATCATTGTTTTTGTGTAACCTTTTTCTTTCATGTACTATTTCCCAAATTTTTGTAAACCATTGGAGTCGCATTGTTAGCGAACTACCATTTTATTAATGAAGTTTGAGCATTTATCCTTTTTGTTTTATCGGGCAAAATTTTAAGCTTTTATGGCAATATTTGAAACGAATTAATTAAAGTATTCTTACTTTGAAATGTGTCATGAATACTGAAAGGAATATTAACAGTTGCTCTGAGGATGGTTAAGCCATGAAATGCAAAACAATACAGTAATTCATCCTTGTATGATGAACATGTTTTCTTTCAAAATCGTCATGAGGTATTGGTTGTGTAAACTTGCGTTTCTAGTATAGTACTAAGCTTGGTGATTCTCCAGCAATTCCGGTTAAGCTTTGTTTCGGTTATCTCTATTTGAGAAATTTCTGAAGTGTGGTACATTTTGTATCATGTTAGTGGTCTATTGGTGTTAGAAGATTGGATTTGAATACTTTTCTCCCCAGAAGACTTGAGCCTTGTAGTATGATACGCTCTGACGTTGCTTTTTGGTTCCAGTTCCAGTTATTTTTCGTCTCTTTGAGATTGGCCGAGTATCTAATCATTTCGTGATATCTTATCATCTTCAAGTTATTTCCTCTATCTGTTTTATCAGCGTAATATTCATTTACTCATTTACACTTACATCATGCATACACATTCACATTTGTCGATGATTTTAGGTCGAATACCTTGTTTATGTTTATTCAAACAGCGTACCTGTTCTTTCCAAGAAGAATGTTAACTTAGGCAGAAAATGTGCTTCCTTTCTAATTCCCCAACTGAGCTAATCCTCGTGGATGAATTTTTGATTTATCCTTCCTTGTCCATCTCTGGATAGGATGAATCCCCAATTGGGTTATTTTCTCATTGGGGGGAGTCTTGTTTGACTATCTTTCTCTCTGGTTTATTCCTGGATGGAGTTTTGTCTCTTGCATAGGCTATCTCGTGGTTTTCTTCGGGCTAGGCAACCTAGATGAGTGGTGCATTTATTTTGTGCATTTAAGTATCTGATCTCCTTAGGAATGATCTATTCATGGTTCCCTTTGAAGAAGAATTTTATTCTCTGACAGTGTTATCACAACTTTCTTCTAAAACATCTTTGGAAAACGACAAGCGGCGGTCTCTTCATGAGAAACTTGTGCGTTATTGACATCTTTGGAAAACGACAAGCGACAGTCTCTTCATGAGCAACTTCTGTGTTATTGACATCTCTGGAAAACGACAAGCGGCGGTCTCTTCATGAGCAACTTGTACGTTATTGACATCTTTGGAAAACGACAAGCGGCAGTCTCTTCATGAGCAAATTGTACATTATTGACATCTTTGGAAAACGACAAGCGGCGGTCTCTTCATGAGCAACTTGTGCGTTATTGACATATTTGGAAAACGACAAAGTGACGGTCTCTTTATTTGAGCAACTTGGCGTTATAGTTTTCAGGGAAGACAATAGGTGGCGGCTTCTTTATTTGAGCAGCTTGCATGTTATAGACATCCTTTGAAGACAACAAGTGGCAGCTTCTTTATTTGAGCAGCTTGTGTGTTTTAGACATCCTTTGAAGACAACAAGTGGCGGCTTCTTTATTTGAGCAGCTTGTATGTTATAGACATCATTTGAAGACAACAAGTGGAGGCCTCTATATTTGAGCAGCTTGTGCGCTTATTGATATTCTTTGAAGACAGCAAGTGGCGGCCTCTTTATTTGAGCAACTTGTGTATCTACAACCATATGTTATTTCAACATCAAATGGTATCTCTCCGGAAAAATCTCGCAGAGAAGTTTTTTGTTAAAACACTACCTTCAGAATTTGGTAGTTCAATATCAGCAAAAGTTGACACATCTTTTTTCTATCTTTAACCATGAGTTGTGAACTCACCATCATCTTGGGTCAATAATCTTTTTTTGTGACCTATGCAAGGCGTCTTCTTTGTTAGGGTCATAAGTTGTCTTCTCTCAAATTTTATTCTCCGTTAAGAGTCTATCATTCGAAGTCGATGGCTCATTTCCCCAGTAGTGTATAATCTCTGTTCCCGTGGATTGTTTGTGCTTGGTTTCTCTAGCATTATTTTGTCTCGTACAGTATCATTCTCCATAAAGTTAAATACTACATTCATATCATAAACATAATGGCGGTATCTTAGGGAAAAAATTGCGTATTATGTATTTAAGTACCTTCAATCTCGTCGAGACAAAGATTTTAATCTTCATATCTCCGGATAGAAGAAACTTAAATAGGGGCAGCTGTCATACCCCAATTTTTTACCTAAGATCCCTGCTTCATCTGCATTATTTTATATATACGTCAAGGTCACAGAATATGGTAGGTTATGAATGTTTCACCTTCGAGCTTTGACTGTGTAGAGATTATCGAGTGTTGTGAGCATTTTATCTTAAGAATGACTAACCACTAATCAAGCACGAAGTGTATGTTTTGTTGTTTTATTTTCATGTGCAGGAAATAGGACTGAAAGAAGAGAATCAGACGTCGTACATCGATTAAGGTTTCGAGTCTCGGGACAGAAATGCCGTCGGTCGTTAATTCCCAAAAGCTGATTCATCAAAAGAATTTCAGAGAATTATGCGTTTATTTCCACACTCTGTCCAACAGATGGTCTCCGGTTTCTCTGAATATTTTTTCAGAAAGAACAATCGAAGTTCTACTATCTTCGGTTCATGTGTGTTTCAAATTGTTCTAAAATACAAGAAAACCAAGCTATGACAGTCATTTTCGATCACTTCGACCAAAAGTCATCTGCAAATTTTCTCATGACGCGGGGTGAATTTCGTTAAAATGGGATGATTAAATTCAAAACCGTTCTAGAAGAATTTGTTTGGAATATTTGGAAATTTCTTTATTTGAATTCAAGTGATAATTAAAGAGGAGCTATCAAGAGATCTCATCCAAGAATAATCATTAATCGCATGAAATATTTATTCAAGATTATTTTTGTGATTATTTTGGTGGACTTACATGAAGCATTTATTCAAGAAGTTAGTGGGAAAAGGAATTCGATCCAATTAATCGGTCATCACAAGATTAATTACATAAGGATTTCTATTTGATTACAAAATCAATTCATGTGATTTATTTGGATCTCTATTACAAAAGTGCAAGATTAAAGTCTAAGACTTGCATTATTATTTATTTATCATTCAACAATTTATTCAAGTATTGTTCAACTCTTTCCCAATTCAAATGGAAGGCCTTGAATTTTTATCAAGACATATCAAGATTCATGATCATATGAAGATTCAAGTTTATTTATAATTACAAAAAGAAATTGAGAATATATTGAAGAATACATGTTTATTCATGTTACAATTTATTTGGACTTATTGTTACAAAGTTACAAAATAAAATACAAGTTTTGTACATGAAAATCAAACTATTATTCTTGCTACAAAACAGTCCCAATGCTGCCCATTTTTCCAGCACTATATTAATCCATAACAGTCCATTTTTTTAGTGTAGTGCTGTCCATTTTCTCCAACCTTGTGTCAGCAAAGACCATGCCAAGCTATTGTCCAAATCTGCCCAGTAAAACAGTCCAGAATGCAGCCCATAAGACAAAAATCTGCACATTTTGCTGTTACAAAAACAGTTTGCAAAGCTCCAAATATTGCACTAAAATGGATACTTCAAAAAGCTATCCCATAAAACATCAAAACAGGGACTAGAATAGTTCAAACTTCTACTGTTTCCCCCCCCCCCCCCCCCCCCCTAAAACCCCACACATTTCACTATAAATAGAGGCTTTCATCAACACAAAAAAATTCCAAAAAAATTCAGCAAGAGAGTGAAAACAGAAAAGAGAGTTTTGTCCAACAATCCAACAATAGAGTGAAAACAGAAAAAAAGATTAGTTTTGTTCTAAAAGTTCAGCAAGAAGAAAAACAGGAAAAGAGGAAAAACTTACGGTTTTGAAGATCCATCGGAGAGACTCCGATAGGTATTTTTTCTTCCTCCTTATTTATTTATGCATAACTTTCTCATTCATATATTTTAGTCTTCTTTGCCTCACTTCCATGCCATATGATTATTTGACTTGCTATATTTTTAGAGTTGCTGCAATTTGTTAACATTTAGAAAACGTTAGTAATAATAAACACCATAATAAAACATCCTTTTCATTCTTTCATTTATCGCTTCTAAACTCCAGAAAATTAAACAGAGGAAACGCAAAACTGTACAAGGACCAACTGCTGCCTCTCTCTTTCACACTGATTTCTCCATGTTCAAAACTTTGCTTTGCTTTTATTTTCAGCTTATCAACAAAAAAAACCTTCTATATCTTCCTCTAACAACCACCAATTGACAGCCTGCTAACTCTTAGAACCTGTTAAAACCAGCTTAGAACCTGCTGTTAAAACCAACTTAGAACCTGTTATAAATCATAGAATCTGCTCTCTTAGAACCTGTTAAAACTAGCTTAGAACCTGTTGTTAAAACCAGCTTAGAACCTTCTGTTAAAACAATTAGAACCTGTTAAAAACATAAAAACTTGTTACCAGCTCAGAACCTATTATAAATTATAGAATCTGCTAACTCTAGAATCTGTTAAAACCAGCTTAGAACCTGCTGTTAAAACCACTAGAACCTGTTAAAAACCTCAACTTGCTAACCAACTTAACCTGTCAAAACATAGAATCTGTTAAAAACCATAAAACCTGTACAAACCTTAGAACTTGTTCCAAAACATAAAACATGTACAAACCTTAGAACTTGTTCCAAAACACTAGAACCTGTTGTTACAAAACACTTAGAACCTGTTAAAACATAGAAATTGTCAAATCTTAGAATTTGTTACCAGCTTAGAACCTGTTAACAATCTTAAAACCTGCAAAACACAGAACCTTAGCCCTCAACATAACAACTATAAACCGCTTACTGCAACTTCTCCGAAATCTGCACAATATTCATCAATCTATATCACACAACAACTCAATTTTTCAAACGAACATAAACCAAAATAGAGTTCAAAGGTTATAATGGTAGAAAAGGAGGAACCTTGGCTCTTCGTTCCTCATCACCCCGCACAATCGGACTCTGTCGTTTCACTTCTCTTTTTCATCTGAGTCAACTCACTCCTCTGGTTCTTCCCCAAATCCGAACTCGTTTTCAGATCTGAACCTCTTATAATCGCGATTGAGTCTAAAGATCTTTCTTCTGCTCATTCGTTATTTTTTTTCTCTTGCGATTTCTTCGGGTTTCAGAGAATCTTGGATTGGTAATGTGAACAAACGTGTTATCAGGTAACGATCGAGGATGGAAGTAACATTTTACTGCTAAAGAAAACTATAGCGGTGACTAGCGCTTTATCACGGAGCAGATGCAGCGATAGAGAGTAAGTTTGTGAGTAGGGAGAGAGTGTTATTTTCTTTTTTTTTCTACGGTACAACATAGAACTAGATCTAACAGCAATAATAATAATGAGATATGTATGTACCTTCCCAATAGCAATAATATTATTTAATATTTTCCCTATTCTCATTGATAACCAGCCGCCATGCCCCAACATCAATTAGGGTTTTCTTTTTTTCTTTCTTTCTTGTCCTTTTCAAAGCGGGTCGGCCCATTGGGCTTGTTGGTCCAGCATCTTTACCAATATTCCTTTATTTACTAATAGAAGCGTGGATATAACGAATAAACAACATAGCTCATTTGGAAAGGCAGTTGATATTAATTCAGGAGGGACACCGGTTCAAGTCTAGGCTGGGACGTTTTTTTATTTCTTTTAGCATTATCTCCTCCATATTCCATCTTATTACTATATATTTATTATTATTATAAAAACATAAAAAAACATGATTTTATAAACTAATCCTTATTTAACTTTTGTTAATATGTTATTAATCTTTTACTATTTAATTATTTAAAAAATATAAATGTTTCATTATTTAATTCTTGTTATTTGTTTAAATTATTAAAAAATCCATGATTATTGTAATTTAATTTTTATGTACTTTTAGTTATTTATTTAATCGTTTAAAATGCATGCTAGCATAATTTAATTTTCATTATTTAATTGTTCAATTGTCATTTTAATTAATTTTGTCATCGATTGTTAATCTTTATATCTTCCGTCCGTCTCAAATCCAAGGGAATTGTTTTAATTTTGTTGACTTCATGTCATCAAACACATCTCATCTAATCGTGCGAATACCCTCATTCATCTTTCGTTTATTATTTTGTTAAAAACTTAAGATAATTTTCCTAAATATTCAATTTTCAAACTCACACCTTCTAAGTCAAAACTTCGACATTAGGTCGTCGTATCTTCAAAATCTCGCCAACTCCCATTTTATCCAAACAAACCATTTTAATGAAACAAAAAATTTTAATAAACAAATATTTCAAAAAGTTCCTATAGGATACTATAGATACATTGGCTGCTAATACCTTCCCATGTATAACCAACCCCCGAACTCTAGATCTCTTTTCGAAACTCCTTGTATTTTCATTACTTTTAAGTATTATTTTACATTGCATATTTTAGGGTTTTATTTCGCTCTTTTCCCTTTTCCCTTGGAAATAATAAAGCGCGGTGGCGACTCTTGCTTTTGTGAGACGAGTTAATTAATAGCTCGATCTCCGATTCACCCCGCTACATTTTTTATCGCTACACTTATCCCAAAGAAACCCTACCCAGGTTCCTTCTTGGTCCAGATGCAGTTTTACCCAAGCTCCTAACAAAGCAACCTTACACAGGTTCCCTCTCACAGCCCTACTATCCAGGCTTTCATATCGAAGTAACCCTACTATCCAGGTTCCTTCTCACAGCCCTACTATCCAGGCTTTCATATCGAAGTAACCCTTCTATCCAGGTTCCTTCTCACAACCCTGTTATCCAGGCTTTCATATCGAAGTAACCCTACTATCCAGGTTCCTTCTCACAGCCCTACTATCCAGGCTTTCATATCGAAGTAACCCTACTATCCAGGTTCCTTCTCACAACCCTACTATCCAGGCTTTCATATCGAAGTAACCCTACTATCCAGGTACCTTCTCACAGCCCTACTATCCAGGCTTTCATATCGAAGTAACCCTACTATCCAGGTTCCTTCTCACAGCCCTACTATCCAGGCTTTCATATCGAAGTAACCCTACTATCCAGGTTCCTTCTCACAGCCCTACTATCCAGGCTTTCATATCGAAGTAACCATACTATCCAGGTTCCTTCTCATAGCCCTACTATTCAGGCTTTCATATCAAAGCAACCCTACTACCCAGGTTCCTTCTCACAGCCCTACTATCCAGACTTTCATATTGAAGCAACCCTACTATCCAGGTTCCTTCTCACAACCTTACTATCCAGGCTTTTCATATTGAAGCAACCCTACTATCCAGGTTCCTTCTCACAGCCCTACTATCCAGGCTTTCATATCAAAGCAACCCTACTACCCAGGTTCCTTCTCAGAGCCCTACTATCCAGGCTTTCATATTGAAGTAACCCTACTATCTAGGTTCCTTCTCACAGCCCTACTATCCAGGCTTTTCATATCGAAGCAACCCTACTATCTAGGTTCTTTCTCATAACCTTACTATCCAGGTTCCTCCTATCTTATCTCCAAACAGCAGTCCATAACACTGTAAGACTAGAACCTGATCAAACACGATTGGTTTTGCATTTCCCCAGTAAGTCGCGGTGCAGCTTGTACCCTGACCAGATATGCAGCTCACTTCCGCTTCCTCAAGCAGGAGTTATTTCCCTAGTAGAGTAACGGATAACTGAAGCTCCTAAAATTCTATTTCTCCCAAGACTGATATCAACATTCCTCAGCAGATTACTCATCAACAACAGTAATAGGGACTCTCGTCAAAGGAATATCTCAGGAAATCAACATTTCCTAGATGGCATCTTTAAGCCCATCTCCGACAATTCTCCGACGCATCCAGGATGGCATCTTTAAGCCCATCTCCGATAATTCCCCGTCGCATCCAGGATGGCATCTTTTAGCCCATCTCCGACAATTCTCCGTCGCATCCAAGATGGCATATTAAGGCCATATCCAAAAATCTTCTATCATCAACCTCCAAATTGCATATGTAATCCCATTCCCGATATCACAAATCAAGTGCCACTTCATGCGAGTGCAAATTTCTGGGCACTCTAGTGTTCAATCGTCTTCCACCTTCAAATCACGAAAGGCAGGCTAGCCAATCTACATCCTCAGGTTTAAGAAGATTGAATAGGGGCAGCTGTTGTACCCCAAAATTTGCCCTCTCATTTTACTCAATATATACTCCTAGAGATCCTTAACTTGCTCAAGTTTGCCCAAGAGTTAACCAGACAAACTCTCTCCTAAGGCAGTGTGTCTCAAATTAGGGTTTCCACTTTCATCAAGATGTGTGGATCAAAAAGGCCCCAAATGCTCTCCAAGGCCCTAATATATTCCCAAGATTCTCCATGTCAAGTCTCATGCCTTGCACAAGAAGTTTTCTCAGTCAACTGCTCAGAGGCTTGAGAATCGACTGTATTAGGTCAAAAGTCAACTGTGACCCACATACAGTCAAACTTCAAGATTTTTGGTCAACGTCCACATTTTGAAGTGACTTTCATCATTTGATCAAGGAATGCTTCAAATTCATCAAAACCCAAGAGTTACTATATTAGGGTTTCTCAGTAAAAGTTAACCCAACTTTGACCAAGCATAACTTCTTCATACATTATCAGAAAATTTCCATCCAAGGACCATTTTGAAGAGGATGCAATTCCCTTCAATCCATATTCATCCCACAAGTTCAAAATATGCACTCATCAAAAGATATGAATTTTTACATTATAGGTCCTTTTGAAAAGTTAACCAAAACACCTTTTGGGTCAAAGCTTCATACATGAACATGGAAGATCCAATTGATATGAAACCAAAAGGGTTGTTTAGGGGACATCCTAAGATTTCTAAAAAGTCAAAAAAAACCCTCCTAGGGTCAAAATGGAGAGAGTTATGCATTGTCAAAGTTGGCAATTTTTAGAAAATTGTCAAAACTCAACATTGATCAAATTTGCATTTTTTTTCCAAAGGGGCCCATGTCTTCTTGCTTGAAACATGTTTCTAATAGGACCCACGACCCTTGAGCTTTTCCAACTATTATTTTATTACTTTTATCATTTATTTTGATTTTTTATTCATTTAAATCGAAATAAATCAAATTAAATGGTAAAATAATGAAAACAAATCAAATCTTGGGATTTTTGTGCACATTTGGAGTCCATGTACAACTAGCATGATGATCAATTCGTGCAAGACTCATTAGGGTTAGAAAAGATTGGGTTGAAGCTTGTTTTAGAAAGATATCATACATGAAGCAAATCAAATCCAATTTCCATTATTTCTCAAGATTCATACCAATTTTATTAACCTAATTCAGTCTACTATATGTATTCAACAATTGTAGATCAAAATAAAAAGTTTTTACAATCGTATGGAGCAAGAACAAAAACTCAAAAATTGGATAAAAAGTGTGCACTTAATTTATGCCCTAGAGAACGATTCCAGGCGATTGAAGGACTCTAATCACTTCTTGGCCATCTCCAGAAGCCAACAACATCATTTGCAACCTTCAAAACGTCAAGAATCATTGCCTAGACACATCACGGTTTGCCAATTTTGTCAAATTCGATTATTACAATTTACGCATCATTAGCACCTTTAATTGTTATATTTGTGATCATCATCATGTTTTCAAGCTGACCACATAGTTTAATTGTATTTTTGGGACCTTTACACGCATCTGCCATGGTTAGGGTTTCTACATGAATTTTAGGGTCTTTGTATACATGTTAAATTAGGCTATGAATCAGGTACCATGATGCTCGTGAGGCCAAGACGAGCTGATTGGTACCATCACAAATAATTTATCATGCTTGTATGAGATTATTGAGTTTTGTAGGGTTGTAGTTACAGCAAACGTCCGTAGGTATAAGTCCATCACCTAATACGACAGTTGCAGCGAAGAAGATAATATATGTGGCAGCCCACGATTGGTTCATTTGAATCTTGCGTGCCTTTCTGAATCCATTATTTTGTTTTATTTATTATGTTTTGTTTTCATTATACAAACAAATTAACAAGGTAGCGCAGCTGGAAATGTATCGTTGGAGGCGAGTATAAGGACATGGGTTTGATCCCAGGTCCCAATGATTTCCTTGTATTATTTTTTCTTCTGTAATCAG